CAGGCGGAGGCGCAGCAATAGCCTCTGTTCAAGGGGCCCCAGAAGCAGACGTAGCAGCGGCATCAGCAGCAGCAGCAGCGGCAGCAACAGCAGCAGCAGCAGCGGCAGCAACAGCAGCAGCAGCAGCAGAAAAGTGGCCGCTTTGGGGCGCACCTGAACAGGTGCTGCGCTGTCTCTCAGGCAGCGGTGTGCAGGAGGCCTGCGCTGCTGCTGCTCCTTGCACAAGCCCGCAGCAGCAGCAGCAGCAGCAGCAGCAGCAGCAGCAAGAACAGCATGATTGTGAGTCGAGGATGTGGCTGTCTCGTTTGCTGTGCCTTGACTGGCAAGTGCTGCAGCAGCTGCTGGTAGAAGAACGGCTTCAATACGCAGCAGCAGCAGCAGCAGGAGCAACAGCAGCAGCAAAACATGTAGATCGAGTTCTACCGATGCTGCTGCTAGGTGCTGCGCTGCAACAGCAGCAACCTCAGCGCCTCCAGGCTGCTGCTGCTGCCTTTGTTGCTGATGCACAAGCTAACCTGCAAGCTCTGTGCAGCAGCAACAATTGCTGCAGCAGCACTATGCAGCTGCAATGGCACTTCAAGCAGCAGAAGCAGCAGCAGCAACAATTGCTGCAGCAGCAGCAGATGGTGCTGCTGCAGTGGATCGGGACGGAGGCCGTTGCTTCTGTGGGGTACTTCTGCTGCTGCTTTTCTCGCGTTGCTGCTTTCGTATGGCAGCGGTGTGCCGCACTGCAGCAGCAGCAACAGCAACAACAGCAGCAACGCCGCTGCTCCGAGCAACTAGCAGAGCTACGCTCCCCCACTCAGCTTCAGCTGCAGCAGCAGCAACAACAGCAACAACAGCAGCAGCAGCAACAGGACTGCCTCTGCGGCTCATGCGAGTCGTCTGCTGCTGCTGCTGCGCCTGGAGGCTGCGCTTGGCAGCAGGCTATCTTGCTGCTGCTGCTGCAGCAAATTCACTCTGTGGGTTCGTTTAGTATATCTTCGCTTAAAGCTGCTGCTGCAGCAGCAGATCGCTTCATCCCGTTGCTGTTCTTGCAGCAAGTGACATACCATCCTCAGTCGACGCCCACTGCTGCTGCTGCTGCTGCTGCTGCTGCTACTGCTGCTGCTGCTGCTGCTCCCTTTCGCTTCCCAGTCAGTGGCTTTGGCGGTGAAACTCCAACTCGAGGAGCAAGCCCGTTTGCAACAGCAGCAGCAGCAGAAGCAGCAGCAGCAGCAGCAGCAAGTTCCCTTTCCTTGGGGGGCATGGCTTGCGGCTCAGAGGGTCTGTATGAAATATCCAGTGAAGAGCAGCAGCAGCAGCAGCAGCAGCAGCGTGCCCTGCTGCTGTGGCTGCGGGCGTCCTTAGGCTCCGCTCTGTCTTCGGCGCTGCTTTTTGGCTGGTCAGATAGCAGCAGCTGCAGCTGCAGCAGCTACAGCACCAGCACGTGCAGCAGCAGCGGCAGCAGCAGCAACGGCAGCAGCAGCAACGGAATCAGCAGCAGTAGCAACAGCAGCAGCAGGTGCTGCACGAGCCTTGCTTACACTCCAGCAGTTGAGGCTGCAGCTTCACCTTTTGCTGCCTCTGAAAATATCGCAGGCACCGGTGCTACTGCTGCTGCTGCTGCTGGCTCCAGGTGCAGCTGCTGCTGCTGCAAGCCGTGGGTTACTCTCACTGGCTCTGGCTACGTGCAGCAACGAGCCCGCGCAGCAGCAGCAGCAGCATCAGCAGCATCAGCAGCAACCGCAGCTGCTGCTGCAACAGCAGCAGGAACAGCACCAATTAGAAACTCTTCATGGAGCTCAGCAGCAAGCCCGTTGCAGCTACAGCAGCAGCAGCAAGAGCTGATGAAGGAGCAGCAGCAGCAGCAGGTTTGCTGCTGCCCTTGTTGGTGGGTTGCTGCAGCACGGAGGACTCAGCAGACAAAACACTCAGCCAGAGAAGCGTTTTGTGCCTTGCTGCTGTCCCTGCAGCAGCAGCAGCAGCAGCAGCAGCAAGAGATTACCCCCAATGCACTGCTTACGGCCTATGAACACAAAGCTGCTGCTGCTCCTGCTGCTGCTGCAGCAGCTGCTGCTGCTGCTGCCTCAAAGGCCTTCAGCAGCACCGACGGTGCTGCGCGATATGCCGGAGATCTCCTGCAGCAACAATTGCTGAGTTGTTGTGTTGCAGCAGCTGCAGCAGGGAAAACACCAGCAGCAGCAGCAGCAGCAACAGCAACAGCAACAGCAGCAGCAGCAGAAGGAAATGATGCTGCTGGCGCTTTGAGGTTCCCTTTGCTTCTTAGCCCCCAACGCTTTTGTCTTTCTATCGACGCAGCAGCGGCAACACAAACAACAACAGCAGCAGCAGCCATAGCAGCAGCACAAGCAGCTCCTCCTGCGGCTGTTGGGGGTGCAGCAGCAGCAACAGCAGCAGCAAGAACCGCAGCAAGAAAACCTTCTGAAGGCGCAGCAGCCAATCTGTTTTCGGTGACTGAGTTGCTGCAGTACGTCTTGCTGCTGCGCTTCCGCGAATATATTGCGGTGGTGCTGCTTCTGCTGCTGCTGCTGCTGCTGCACTGTGCATGCATTCATTTGCTGCCACTCGCTGCTGCTGCTGCACCTTTCCTGTCAGCAACTAGCAAACTGCCTCCCTCACCTTAACCTTGCTGCTGCTTCTGCTGCTGCTGCTTCTGCTGCTGCTGCTTCTGCTGCATCCCTTCAGGCTTCTCGGCGACCTCAGCGCAGCAGCAGCAGCTGTTGAAGATTACCTGCTGCAGCAGGACATCTTACTACTTGCTGCTGCAGTGCTGCTGCCATTCTGGCGGGCTGCTGCCTTCGGTTCGCAGCAGCAGCTCCCACCTCCACAGCAGCAGCAACAGCAGCAGCAACAGCAGCAGCAACAGCAGCAGCAACAGCAGCAGGATGATCTTGATAGCCTGGTTAAGGATTACGAGGAGTGCCGCAGCGAGGCAGACAATCATTATGCTGCTGCACTGGTTCTTTTGCAGCTGTGCCGTGCCTTAGCTGCTGCTGCTGCTGCTGGTACTGCTGCTGCTGCTGCTGCAGCACCCACAACCAGGGGAGGCAGCAGCAGCACCATACTTCCTGCAGGCCCTGCTGCTGCTGCTGCTGCTGCATGGCTCGACGCGGGTGTGCGGCAGCTGCAGCGATGGGCTGACCTTCAGCTGAATCAGCTGCTGCCCCTTGCTGCAGCTGTTGATAAGGGCCTTAACAGCAGCAGCAACAACAACAGCAGCAGCAGCAGCAGCGCAGTGCGAGCTCTACGCCGCGCCATAGAAACAGCACAGAGGCAGAATCTCAGTCACACTTATTGGGCGAATAGCAGCAGTAGCAGCAACAGCAACAGCAGCAGCAGCAGCAGCAAAAGCAGCAGCAGCAGCGGGAGTGGTAGTGAGTGTGGCCCTCTTTCGGCTCTTTCTGCTGCTCATTTTGTTGCGCTGCATTCGCAAGCAGCAGCAGCAGCAATTGAAGCAGCGGGAAGCAGCAGTGACTGTGCTGCTCTGCGTCGCGCTGCAGCTGAGGAGGTGCTGCTGCTGCAGTTGTCTGGCCAGCTGCAGCAGCAGCAGCAGCAGCAGCAGCAACAGGGTTCTTCTGCCTTGCTGCAGCAGCAACGCGTCTTTATCCTGACGCCGCAGCAAGTCGAATATGTGCTGCGAGCAGCAGGTGTTTTTCCTCAGCAGCAGCAACATCAGCAGGAGCAGCCGCAGCAACAGCAGCCTACTCCTGCAGCAACAGCTGCAGCAGGTGCTGCAGCAGCTGCTGCAGGCAAGACGTCCTTACCCTTCCTCTTGCTGCCGCAGCGTTGGCTGTCCCCCGAAGCTCATATCTCTGTGGCGCGGTTTGTGCTGCAGCTGCTGCTGTCGCCGCAGCAGCAGCAAAGGCAGCAGCAACAGCAACAGCAGCAGCAGCAGCAGCAGCCCCCACAGGAGCTCCTGCAGAACCTTCTATGCCACAGTGCTGGCGGCCCGTCAGCAGCAGCACCAGCAGCAGCGCCAGCGCCAGAAGCAGCAGTAAAGAGGGATGCAGCAGCAGCAGCAGCAAGGAAGGATGCCGCAACAGCAGCAGCAACAACACCACCGCTCAACTTCATCAGCCCCCTGGCCCTGTGGGGTGCTGCAGCTGCCTTGGGAGAAGCAGCAGCTGCAGCAGCAGCAGCAGCAACGGCAGCTTCAGCTTCTGCGGCATGCAGCAGCAAAGCACTATCCACTGTGCCGTTGTCTAGGAGTTTGCTGGCTTACACGCTCACCTCTAGGGCCCCAAGCAGCAGCAGCAGCAGCAGCAGCAGCAGCAGCAGCAGCAGCAGGGAGGCGTGGCCTGTCTCTTTTGTTGAGGGTTTCAAGCTGCAGCGAGCGCTAAGCAGCAGCCGCGGGAGGCCTCCTCTTACTGCTGCTGCAGCTGCTGCTGCTGCTGCTGGGCACTGCGCCTTTGGAGGTGTGTCTTCCTTTGCTTCGTCGCTGCTGCTGCAGCAGCAGCAGCAGCAGCAAGCCACTCTCTGGGCAGCAGCAACACTCGAGGGAGCAGCTGCAGACACCACCGCTGCAGCAGATTTGCTGCTCACCAATCTGCAGCAGTGCTGCCGCTGCTGCTACGCGCTGCTGCCGGCGCTGCGGCTGGCTATGGCACTGCTACTGCTGCTGCTGCAGCAAGGATACCCTGCACTCGATGCTGCTGCCGCGCAGCTTGAGGCGCAGCAGCAGCAGCAACAGGTGCAACCTCATTTCTTCAGCTGGGAGCAGACTCACTACCTCACAGCCAAAGAGCCGCTGCTGCAGCAAATGCCATCTGCACAAACAGCAGCAGCAGCAACAGCAGCAACAGGAACAGCCGCAGCAGCAGCAGCAGGGACAGCAGCAGCAGCAGCAGCAGGGACAGTAGCAGCGAAAGAGGCACCAGGGCAGCTGCAGCTGTGGCATCCTTCCCATACCCCGCCTAACTGTCACCTGCAGCTGCAGCAGCAGCAGCAACAATTCGTTTTGCTGCAGTGTTTGCTGCGCTGCTGCCTGACCGCTTGGAACGACATCCGCAGCAGCAGCAATCCCCATGCTAGGCGACAACGACAGCACCAGCAGCAACAGCAGCAGCTGCAGCAGCAACAGCAGCAGCAGCAGCAACAACAGCAGCAGCAACAGCAGCAGCATCGTTTGCAAGAGCGTAGCAGCCCTTGGAGCGAATTAATTGCTGTAAGAGACAGAGCCTCGTGGCTACGCCTTCTTGCTGCAGCAGCAGCAGCTTGCAGCAGCTGCGACAGCACCTGCTGCAGCCCTTGGGCCAGCAGCTACCGTTGCAGCAAACGGCGACTCGGCAGCAGCAGCAGGAGCAGCAGCAGCAGCAGCACGCGCCTGCCTAGCAGCAGCAGAACTCCTGCGGGCCTCGCTAGAGCCACAGGAGAAGCAGCAGAAGGAGCAGCAGCAGCCCTGCTAAAGACATCACCACCTGCAGCAGCAGAAGCAGCAGAACCACGTGAAGCAGCAACTGCAGAAGCAGCAGCAGCAGCAGCAGCAGAATGCGGTGGAGCTGCTGCTAGGGATTGGTTAAGGGCTACGGGGCTGCAGGTGGGGGCCCCACACCTTAGAGGGCTCAGCACTTTGCTGCCGCCTGTTGCTGCTATCTTTGAAGACCTTTGGAAGCTGCACGTACACCTGAATAGCATGCAGCAGCAACAGCAGCAGATCTTGCAGCTGCAGCAGCAGCAGCAACAGCAGCAGCAGCAGCAGATCTTGCAACTGCAGCAGCAGCAGCAGTTTGAATTGAAGGAATTGGCAGCAGCCCGTGAGCAGACTTTTATGGCTGTATGGACCCTGTCTATGATTCAGTGTCGCAGCAAGAAACAGCAGCAGCAGCAGCAGCAGCAGCAGCTGCAGCTGCAGCTGCAGCGGGAGTTGCAGAAGCTCTGCGAGTTTGCTGCGGAACAGATCAAGGCAGGGGCCCCAGCCACGAAGGAATGGTGTAGACTTCTTCTTGCTCTTTATCATCTCTTGCGCATGCAGCAGCAGCAGCAGCAACAGCAACAGGAGCAGCAGCAACAGCAGCAGCACAGCCTGCAACTGCAGCAGCAGCAGCAGCAGAATCGGCGGCAGCAGCCAACACGGAGCAGCAGCACCACTGAGACGGGGGCTGAAGAGGAGTTCCTCTTGAGCCAAGCTCAGAGCAGCAGCAGCAGCAGCAGCTGCTGCTGCTGCTGCTGCTGCTGTGTTTGCATCCTTGTTGCACTCCGTGCCCTGTGTATTTGGGCTGAAGCCGCCACGAGTGCTGCTGCTGCTGCTGCTGTTGCTGCGATGACGCAGTCAGGTGCTGTGCTGCAGCAGCTGTTCTTGCAGGCTAGCTCTAAGCTGCTGCTCCAGCTGCAGCAGCAGCTGCAGCAGCAGCAGCAGCAGCCCTTACGGGCTGCTGCGGAGGCAGCAGATCTCAGCCGCTTGACTGATCAGAAGAGCAGCGCAGCGGCGCAGCAGCAGGAACAGCAACAGCAACAGCTGCAGCAGCAGCAGCAGTTGCTGCTGCTGCGGCTACTAGCAGCGGCAACAGGAATGGCAGGAGCAGTTGGGGCCCAAGACGTTTTGCTGCTGCGGCGTGCAGCGAATTGCTGCATTGATTGTCTCGCTGAACTTGAAGCAGCAATTCTCTACTTAGAGACACCTGCTGCAGCTGCTGCTGCTGCTGCTGCTTCAGCGCGGTCTGCTGCAACGGACAGCAGCAATTCATGCGCTGCTGCTGCGGTGTATGGCTCACCCCAAGTGAGTTCAGCTCTGAGGGTTGTAAGGGAAAAGCTGCTGCTGCTGTTGCTGCCGTTTTGCTGCTGCCCTGCTGCTGCAGTGCGGCAGCAGCACAGGGACATCGAGCGGCGCCTTGGTGCTATTCCTTCGCATGCGTCTTTGCTGCTGTTGCAGCTCTCTGCTAAGCTTCTGGCGCAGCAGCAGCAGCAGCAGCAGCACCTGTTGATGCTGCAGCAGACGCAGCACGAAAAGAACCAGCAGCAGCTACTGAAACAGCAGCAACAGCAGCAGCAACAGCAGCAAGAGGAGGAGCACTGGTTGGGTCGCGGGGGTCTATGCCTTGCGGAATGGCAGCATCAGCAGCACGCTGCAGCAGGCAGCAGCAGCTGCTTCATTGTTGCTTCTGCTGATACTGAGCGTCTCTTTGTATGCAGAGGCTTCTCTAAAACACTTGTGCATGCGCTTGCTGCAGCAGCAGCAGGGATGCTGCTTCCTTCAACACCTGCTGCTGCTGCTCCTGTTGCTTCTGCTGCTGCTGCTGCTGCTCAGATGCAGCAGAAAGACGAAGGTGCAGAAGCTGTTTTCTTCTGGGACTGCAGCAGCAAAAGCGCAGCTCTGCGTTTGCTGCTTCGGGCGCACCAACAGCAGCAGCAGCAGCAGCAGCAGGTGTTGTGCCGCAGCACCCAGTGTGCTGCCCCTTCTTCTTTTGCATGCGCTCCAGACAGCAGCAATAAAGAGATCCCCTCGCTGCTGCAGCTACTGCGTCAGCAGCAATGGCTGCAGTGGTGTATTGCCGTAGCCTCAGGCAGAGCAGCGCAGCTCCCCAGCAGCTGCCGTTCCCCGCAGCAGCAGCAGCAGCAGCAGCAACAGCAGCAGCAGCAGCAGCAGCAAGATAGGGGGAATCAACAGCATACAGATGAGGCCTCCAGCCCTATAAGATCCGCCTCAGCAGGCGAAGGAGCAGCAGCAGGAGCAGCAGCAGTACCATCAACAGCAGCAGCAGCAGCAGCAGAGTCACAGCAGCAGCAGCAGCAGCAGCAGGATCGGTTCCGCTTCCTACAGGAGTGGTGGGGGGAGCGCTGGCTACTCGAGAGGAGGAGTGAAGAATGGCAGCAGCAGCTGCTGCTGCTGCTGGGGCCTTCCGTGCTGCTGCTGCAGGGTTGGCCTCTGCTGCAGCTGCAGGAGGTGCTGCGCATACACCCGAACGCTTCAGATGCAGCGGCAGCAGAAGCTGCTGCTGCTACTGGTGGTGATTTTGTTGACGCCGCTGCTTTGGCTGCTGCGGCCCCTGCTGCGGCTGCTACGGCTGCTGCTGCTGCTGCTGCTGCTGTAGGCAAATGGCAGCATGGTGTTGCAGCAGCAACTGCTGGCAATGCTGCGCTGCTGCAGCGCCTCGCTGCTCCCCTCTCCCGAATCCTCTGCTGGCTCAGGGGCTGGGCAGGTGAAGCATCGCAGCAGCAGCAGCAACAGCCGCAGCAGCAGCAGCAGCAGCAGCAAGAGGGGACAATTCCTTCCTGGCTCGTCTGCATTTGCGATGATGTGAGCGGAGGAGCAGCAGCCAGCAGCACGCCTCCACCCTGCGTAGCGCAGCAGCAGCAGCAACAGCAGCAGCAGCAGCAGCAACATGAACCGCTTCTACGGCCCTTGTCCGAGTGGATCGCCCCTTCTTCTTCTCCTGCTGCCGCTGCTGCTGCTGCTGCTGTGTTGCCAGCGCTTGCTGCTGTCTGCTGCAGCCTGTGCTGCACCCCACGGCTATCAATCGAAGTTGCTGCTGCTGCTTCTGCTGCTGCTTCTGCTGCTTGGGGGGCAGCTATTCTGCAGCACCAAGAGGCTCTCCGGCGCAAAGACCTGCATGTACACCAGCAGCAGCACCAGCAGCAGCAGCAGCAGCAGCAACAGCAGCAGCAGCAGCAGCAGCAGGCTGTTGTGGAGGTGTATGGCGAGGAAGACATCGAGGCGGCGCTGCAGCACAAAACGCCAACTCCTCTTCGCGCCCCACGAAGAGACAAACAGGAGACAGCAGCAGCAGCAGCAGCAGCAACAACAGCAGCAGCAACGGCCGCAGCAGCAGCAGCAGCAACACCAGCAACACCAGCAACTCATGCAGAAGCAACCCGCACTCGTTCGAAGTCTCTGAGGAAGACAGCAGCAGCAGCAGCGGCAGCAGCACGCCTGGGCCAGCGGAGTCGTTCAGCTACAGCAACAGCAACAGCAACAGCTACAGCTGCAGCAACAGCAGCAGCAACAGCAGCTGCTGCTGCTGCATGCACACCGAGAATCCGCAGGGCACCCAGCAGCGTTTGTGCTGCTGCTGCTGCGACAGCGGGGTGCCTTGTTGCGGCGAGCCCATATTCTGCAGCAGCAGCAGCAGCAGGCGCAGCAGCAACATCCGGGGGAAAGCTGCTTCGCTCAGACCATACGCCGCTGCGGCTGCAGCAACAACAGCAGCAACAGCAGCAACAGCAACAGCTGCAGCAGCAGCCGTATGGATGTGCTGCTTCTGCTGCTCCTGCTGCTGCTCCTGCTGGTGCTCCTGCTGCTGCTGCTGCTGATGATGATGATAGGAAGCTGACGCTGCAGTTTAGAAAGGAAATGATAGATCTTGCGGGGGGCAGTCTAAGCGTTTCTTTAGAGGGTTTGGGGCTGCTGCTGCTGCACATTTTATCTCCGGTGCTGCTGGCGCGCGGTGCTGCTGCTGCTGCTGCTGTGGCGCTGCTGCAGCAGCACAGCAGCAATAAACTGCAGCAAACTACTAGACAACCTCCCCTAACTTTGCTTCAGCAGCTCGCTGCCAGTTTTCTCTGCTGCGTAGTCTTGAGGCTGCAGGCTGTAAAGCACAATCCCGTCTGCTTCCAGCAGCAGCAGCAGCAGCAACAACAGCAGCAGCAAGGTGATGAATGCCTGTGTTCCGGTAGAAACACTGGCATCAGCTGCTGCAGCAGCAGCTTTTGCTGCTGCTGCTGCAGCGGCGCTCCCATCGTTACGCTGCTACGGCCTGAGGCCGGCAGCAGCAGCAGCAGCAGCAGCAGCAGCAATGTTGCAGCTATTATCGAGCGCCCTTTGTGGGCTACAGGCTGCGAGCCTCTGTCTCTTTACCTCCATTCACTGCTGCTGCAGCTGCCAATTGAAGGCCTGAGTCTGCTGCAGCAGCAGCCGCTGTGTCGCGGGGTGCACCCTGCTGTTGCTGCTGCGCTGCTGCGGGCAGCAGCAGAACGCAGGCAGCAGCAGCAGCAGCAGCAAAGCAGCACAGAAGCAGCGCCTTCAGATGGGAGACAGATAGCCACAGCAGCAGCAGCAGCAACTAATCAAGGCCCTCAGCCATTGCCCCACGACCTTGCTGCAGCTTCTTGCTGCACCACGACAACAGCAGCAGCAGCAGCAGGAGCTCCGACAACCGTCGCAGCAGCAGAAGCAGCAACAGCACCAAGAGCGACTGCAATAACGCCAGCTCCAGCAGCTGCAGCAACAGGGGCAACGCCAGCAGCAGCAGCATCAACAGCAACTGCAACAACAGCAGCAGCAGCAGCTGCTGCTGCTGCAACAAGTGCAGCAGGAGTTGTTACTCCGGGTGTATATACACCTCGTAGGTGCTGGCGGTCCTTAGGAACATCAGCCTTCTCTGCAGCATCTCCAGGTTTGCTTCGCAGCAGCAGCGTGGTGAGAGCAGCAGCAGCAGCAGCAGCAGCAACAGCAGCAGCAGCAGGAACTCCTTCCGCCGTGCAGCAGCGACGTGTTGCAGCTGCTGCTGCTACTGCATTGCGCGCGGCTTACTGCCGCACACCGCAGCAGCAGCAGCAGCAGCAACAGCTGCTCCAGCCGCCTAGACAGAAGGCGTCGCTGTTGGATTTCAACTTACAGCTGCAGGAGCCCTGCAGCAACAGCAGCAGCAACAGCAGCAGCAGCAGCAGCAGTGAAGCCCTTATTCTCCGGCCGCTGCTCTACTGCGAGGTGCTGCAACGTTGGAAGCGTGGCCTTAGCAGCAGCAGCAGCAGCAACAACAGCAGCAGCAGCAGCAGCAAAGGAGAGGAAGACATGTTTGGTGGCGTTGGTGTTTGTATCAATCCCTCAGGCGAACTGCAGCGAACGTCGCGCTGCTGCAAACCCTTTTTGCTGCTGGGCGGCTGCTGCTGGAGAGGAGCTGTTGATCGGCCGCCTAGAGGTGCTGCTGCTGCTGCTGCTGCTGTGAAGGCTGTAAAGGCTGTTGCTGTGGCTGCTGCTGCTGCTGCTGCTGTGAAGGCTGTTGCTGTGGCTGCTGATACTGATGCTACCGCTGCTGCAGGTGCTGGTGCAGTGATGGCTTCCTTTGCTGCTGTTGTTGCTGCTGCTGCTGTTGCTGATTTCGAGTCTGGTGCTGCTGCCTTGGCAGCAGCAGCAAATGCTGCTTCTGCTGCAGTTGCTGCTCCTGTTCGTTGGAGTGCTTCCTGAGTGTAGCTCCCGATGTGGGGGTCGCTTGCTGCGCGCCACACCGCCTCTGCTGCTGCTGCTGCTGCTGCTGCTGCTGCAGATAACGAGTGGCTGTCTCTGCTGCTGAAGAGTGAAGTATTTTTATACTGCGGGCATCAAGGAGGAGAGCAGTTTATCGATGTCTCCTTGCTGCAGCGATGTCTCCTTCTTTCAGAGCAACAAGCAGCAGCAGCAGCAGCAGCACCTGCTGCTGCTGTTTCTGGAGCAGCGCAGCTCCAGCAACCCAGGCAGGCAGCTAATGCTGCTGTGCTGCTGTGCGGCTGCAGCAGCGCGCAGCTCCGCAGCAGCAACAATGAAGGAGAGCCTTCAGGAACTTGTCTGGATTACTTAACAGCAGGGTGGTAAGCTGCAGCAACTGCTGCTACTGCTGCTGCTTGTTGCTGCCACTGCTGCTCTTGCTGCTGCTGCCGCTGCTCTTGCTGCTGCTGCTGCTCCTTCTAATATTTTCCTGATTCCTCTGACTCCCGGCTCTTGCAGCAGCAGCAGCAGCAGCTGTGGCAGCAGCAAGCTGGATGGATATAACGCTAGGCACACATACGCTTGCGCATTTGCTGCTGCTGCTGCTGCTGCTGCTGCTGCTGCTGCTGCTGCTGCTGCTGCTGCTGCAGTCCTATGGTTGCAGGTAATCTGTGGGCTGTGACGGATGGAGAGCAAGACGCCCTCCTCCGCGCTCTTCTCTTCAAATGGACTCAGCCTGCAGCCTCACCTCTCACGGCTTCTTCCTGCTGCTGCAGCAGCAGCAGCTGCAGCTGCAGCAGCAGCAACAGCAGCAAAGGCTTGTCGCTTGTAAGGGCACTGACAGAAGCCAGAGGGGCCTCGCGGCTGCGGCGATGTACAGGAGATGCGCTGGTAGTCTATGGACTGCCGCTCTAACTGAAGGTGCCTATACACCTGAAGGTGCCTATACACCTGAAGGTGCCTATACACCTGAAGGTGCCTATACACCTGAAGGTACAGGTAGAGCCGAGGTTCTAGTATTTGTTTTTTATGGCCTGAGGCCTGCAGCAGATATTCATCTTTGGGTTTATAACAAAAAAATTAAAAACGTCAATCTTCCTTCACTGGTGGCGTAGCTAAAACATTCAGAGCTGCCTATACACCCCAAAGCTGCCTGTACACCTCAGACCTCCCTATACGCTTTAGAGCTGCCTATACACCTTAGAGCTGCCTATACACCTCAGAGGTGCCTATACACCTCAGAGCTGCCTATACACCTCAGAGCTGCCTGTACACCTCATAGCTGCCTATACACCCCAAATGTGCGTGCTGCAGCTGTTATTGTTTGCTGACAGCCCTGTAGCGGGGAATAGATAGAAAAGGTATTTTTGTTTGCTTCTCGGCGAATATAATAGAAAGAAAAGCAGAAGAAATTACTTTTGAAGTATCATCTGAGGTGTACGTACACCTGAAGGCGATCTTTAATTAGAGTGTACGTACAGCTGAAGAGCAGCAGCAGCAAAACTGAATATATGTATATATATATATATATATATATTTGTGTGTGTGTGTGCGTTGTGTACATATTTATATGTTGTATAATAACGTAAAGGATATATGAATAATGAATATATTTTGTATATATATATATATATTTTAAATACACATATACATCTATGCATGTATGTGTCCATGTATATATATATATATATATATATATATATATATGTATATATATATATAATATATATATATATACAATGTAATGTAATGCAGCAGATTCTTGAGGGTTTATTTTATCATTTTGTTTGTTTTGTTAATTTGTCTCTCTTCTTTAATAAAACTTTTTTTTGTTGCTGCTACAACAAATTCTTCGTTTGCTGCTGCAGGCTGCTATCTGCTGCTGTCTCCATATACACCTGAAAGGAGACAGAGGCTCATAAAAGAATAAATAAGTAAACAAATAAACAAATAAAAAGCAAGCAAGTAAATAAACAAACAAATATATAAACAAATAAGTAAATAAATAAATAACAAGTAAACAAACAGGCAAATAAACAAATAAACAAACAAGCAGCAGCAGCAGCAGCAGCAGCAGCAGCTTCAATCTCTTCTTTATTTTATACACCCGAAGACAAAATACACAAGCAAAAAATATACAACGCCAATGTGAGAGCTGCAGCAGCAGGCCACAGAGTTGCTGCTGCCGCTGCTGTTGCTGCAGCAGCAACAGCAGCAGCAGCAACAGCAGCAGCAGCAGCAGCAGCAAACAAACAATGGTTCATATGGTGGTGTTGCGGTGTATAGGCAGGTTAGTGTCTGTAGCTTAGAAGGAGTTTTAGTTTTAAATGAATTTATTATTAATTTAAAAAGAAAAAAGAAAGAAGGAAACAGAAGCAGCAACAGCAGCAGCAGCAGCAGCAGCAGCAGCAGCAAACTGCAGGCAGCAGCCGACGAAATAACAACAACCCCTCCTTTTCTTATTGGGGGGAGCAGCAGCAAAATTTTATATTATTGTTTGGCTGAGTGTTTAAACCATTTTTAATATTTTTCTTGTTTTGTCTGCACCTGTTGCTGCTTCTACACTCCGGTTTGCTGCTGCTGCTGCTGCTGCAGCAGCCCTCTGCGCCAACGCGATCGGCAGCAGCTCAATAGCAGCAACAGCAGCAACAGCAGCTGCAGCAAACGCAGCAACAGCAACATAACACCTTTATTACTTCCTTTCAAGCGGGTAGACTACAGCCTAGCTAGTAGCAGCACCAGCTGCTGCAGCAGCAGCAGCAGCAGCAGACGTTAGAGCAACACACTGGAGGTTGTGGAGGCATCAATCAGCAGCAGCAAATTCTCTGCTGCTGCTGCTCATGCAGCAGCAGCAGACTTCCCTCTGTCACAGAGCAGCTGACTAACCGCAGTAGCAGCAACAAGAGCAGCAACAGCAGCAGCAGCAGCATCAACAGCAGCAGCATTAACAGCAGCAGCGTTAACAGCATCAGCATTGACGGCAGCAGCAGCAGCAGAAGCATTAAAATCAACAGCAGCGTCAGCATTAGCAGTTCCAGCCGCAGCAACAGCAGCACTGCTTGCAGCTGCAGCGGCAACAGCATCTTCAGCATCAGTTGCAGAGACAGCTGCAACAGCAGCAGCAGCAGCAGCAGCAGCAGCAGCAGCAGCAGCAAAGCACTTATCTGCAATGCTGCGCGCTCTGAGTATTCTCCGCCGCAGGGAGTCTGCTGGGGGCTCCGAGAACGTCAACACCAGCAACAGCAACAGCAGCAGCAGCAGCAGCAACAGCAGCAGCAGCAGCAGCAGCTTTGAAGATGCCATCAGAGGCAGCAGGGAGGCCATCAGCACTCTTGACAAACGCCACGCACATATTCTGCGCAGAGCCCAGGTAAGCCCTAAACCCTAAACCCTAAACCCTAAACCCTAACTCCATTAAGATGTAGCTGCTGCTGCAGCTGCTGCTGGTGCCGCATTGGGTTGTGCTGCTGCGCAGCTAACATATATAAATGGTTTAGTGTTTTAGGGTTTAGGGTCTAGGGTTTGTGTTTTGAGTTATAGGGCTTAGGGTTTGTGCTTTGCTATTAGGGTTTAGGGTTTAGGGTTTGTGTGTTAGGGTTTAGGGTCAGTGGTTTGTGTTTTGCTATTAGGGTTTAGGGTTTAGGGTTTGTGGTTTGTGTTTCGTGTATAAAGGTCTAGGGTTTAAGGTTATTTAGGGCTATTTACGATTATTTAGGGTTTAGGGTTTAGGGTTTAGGGTTTAGGGTTTGTGGTTTAGGCTCAAAGTGAGTTGGCTCGCGCTTGCGTGTCTTCTTCCGATCGAAGCGGGGCATTGATGGCGCTGCAGCGGCGGCAGCTGCTGCTGTCGGAGCTGCAGCAGCTTGCTGCAGCACGTCTAGCTTTAGAGAAGCAGCTGCTGCAGTTAGAGACATCACAGACGCAGCGCCTGGCTGTTGCTGCTATGGCTGCTGCTGCTACGGCACAGAAACAACTCAACAAACAACTGTCAGTTTCATCTGCTGCTGCTGCTGCTGCTGCTTGTGATGCTGCTGCTGCTGCTGCTGCTGCTTGTGATGCTGCTGCTGCTGCTGCTGCTTGTGATGGTGTTGGTGCTTGTGGCGGAGCTGCTGCTGCTGCTGTTGTTGTTGCTGCTACTGCTTGTGTTGCTGCTGCTGCTGCTGCTTTTGTTGCTGCTCTGTTGCTGCTGCGGCAGCTTTTCGGCGTGTGTTTGCTGCTGTTGGTGCCGGTGCTTCTCTGCTGCGGCCGTTGTTGCTGCAGCGTTTGCTGCAGCGTTTGCTGCTGCTGCTGCTGCTGCTTGTTTGCTGCAGCAACAGCAGCACAGTGGAGCGGCTGCTAGACGACATAACGGAGCAGCACGAAGCACAAAAAGAATTTATCGATGCGCTGCAGCAAACCGCCAACCCAGCAGAAGACGAGGCAAGGGCTTCACTGATTAGGGTTTAGGGTTTAGGGTTTAGGGTTTTAGGCTTATGGTTTTAGGGTTTATGGTTTTAGGGTTTAGGGTTTAGGGTTTAGGGTTTAGGTATAACTGTGGAAGGCGGGTTATCTCTGAGGCTGTTTTCATGCTGCTGCTTTTTTCGGTGTTGCTGCTGCTTTTGCTGCTGCTGCTCTTGCCGCTGCGGTGCTCTTGCTGCTGCTGCTGCTGTTGCTGCTGCAGGCAGAGTTGCTGCGGCAGCTCGATGAGTTGGAGGCCTTAGAAGTGGAGAAGCAGCTGATAGACCCGCCGATTGCTGCTGCTGCACACACGCAGCAGCAACTGCAGCACATGCAGCAAGAGCATGAGCTGCTGCTGCTGCAGCAGCAGCTGCAGCAGCAGCAGCAGCAACAACAACAGCAACACCTTGTGCATGAACCCCCTCATAGCCTCCCCCTGTGGCAAGGCATAGAAGCACCTGCGCAGCAGCAGCACCTGCTGCAGCAGCAGCTGCAGCAGCCTGTGCGCGCACCTGCTGTTGCTGCTCCTGCTGCTGCTGCTGCTGCTGCTGCTGTGCGCCCGCCGGGTATGCTACTTGAGCAGCTGCAGCAGCAGCAGCAGCAGCGGCATAAGAATCTGCTGCAGCAGCAGTATCCAGAAGATTTACAGCAGCAAGAGCATCAGCTACTGCAGCAGCACCTGCAGCAGCAGCCGCAGCAGCACCACGGCAGCAGCCTGCTGCATCACGAAGGTCCTGGTTGGGGTGAGCAGGAGCACGCAGCAACAGCAGCAGCAACAGCAGCAGCAGCAACAGCAACAGCAACAGCAGCAGCAAGCGATTCTGTTTGCTTGTGTTGTTTTTGTGCTCCGCAGCATCATCGGCTCGCCACTCCTTTGGGGTGTATTCGCAGCTGCAGCAGCAGCAGCAGCAACAACAACAGCAGCAGCAAAGCGAAGAAGCCCGACTGGGCGTGCTTCTTTATTCCTGAAGCAGCAGCTCTTGCTGCTCCTGCATGCCACGGTGCTTAGCAGTTTACTGCAGCGCGAGCCGCTGCTGCTGTTGCTGCTGTTGCGGGTTGCAGCAGCAGTTGAGAGCTGCAGCAGCAGCAACGCTGGCGTTTGTTTTGGCTGCTGTTTCTTCCTTTATATTCTGTTCGTACAGCAAACATCCAGCAGCAGCAGCAGCAGCAACTGCAGCAGCAACAGCTGTAGCAGCAACAACTGCAGCAGCAGCAACTGCAGCAGCAACAGCTGCAGCAGCAACCGCTGCAGCAGCAACCGCTGCAGCAGCAACCGCTGCAGCAGCAACCGCTGCAGCAGCAACAGCTGTAGCAGCAGCAACTGCAGCAGCAACAGCTGCAGCAGCAACCGCTGCAGCAGCAACAGCTGCAGCAGCAACAGCTGCAGCAGCAACAGCTGCAGCAGCAACAGCTGCAGCAGCAGCACCGTGTTATTTTGTCTTTTTGTCTGTGAAAGAGCTGCTCCAGCTCTTTGAGGTGAAGATACACCTGAGGCCTCAACTGCAGCAGCGGAAGGGTGGGGTGTATAGGCAGCATCATACTAAAGAAACTGCATGCTTGCTGAAGTACAGCTCTTTATTCTGTTGCTGTTGCTGTTGCTGCTCCTGCTGCTGCTCGTGATGCTGCTGCTGATGAGTTGATGAGGCAGCGATAAAGCAATATTTATTTTTTATTGCTGTTGCACTGGAGTGTACAGACAGCAGAGAGCCCTTCTTCTCAACCAGAGCAGCAGCAACAGCAGCAACAGCAGCAACAAGAGGAACAGCAGCAGGAAAGGCAGCAAGTGAGAGTGGCGTTTGTTGTTGTTGTTCGTCTCCTCTTCTGCTGCTGCTGCTGCTGCTGCTGCCGAGTGGCTGGGGCGAAAGAGTTCTGTCCCTTGCTGCTGCTGCTGCTGCAGCAAACCCTAAATCCTCGCAGTAGACTTATAAGCATATAATAAATAAATAA